CGCTGGCCCCAGCTCAGCCCTCTGGGAGCTGCCCCTCTGAGCCAGGCCTGGCCCTGGGACACCTTCCCTTAGTCTGAGGCTCCCACTCAGAAGGACGCAGGAGGCAGGAGATGTGGCCTCCTGTCAGCCCAAGGCCAGCCTAACAATTAGTGCTTCCTGAGAAACCTGCAGGGCAGAAGTTAAGGCCTGGCCCTGGGCCAGAAATTGGAGATAAAGGTTCTGAGAGCAAACCATGGCCCGCAGCTAAAGGTTCATTACTGTTCGTGCCCTTTGACCCAGGAAACAATCCAAGAAAAGGGAAAGGTTGCGTGTGGGAAGAGGGCCAGGACACTGACTCAGAAGGCCCCTCTCAGGGCACCGCTTTAAGTACAGCAGAGGCTGACCCCGGAGAGGCCAGAGGCCTGGGCTCAAGCTGGCCCTGGCCCTCACAATCCCAATGATCTGGAGGCCAGTCCCTCCTGTCTGGGCTTCCCCAGGTGCCAGAGTGCTGCGATCCATTAGTGATTGCTGCCAGGGACACGGATGAGAGGGCCCAGCTGTGTGCTCACCAGTCCTGGTCTCTGAGAGCCCTGGAGGTTTTTGCTGTTTTGTCTGTCTCACTTAGTTGCCCAGGCTGACCCCAAACTCAGGATCCTCCCACCTCAGCCTCCTGGGGTCTGGGATTACAGGCATGCACCGGGCTCCTTCTGGCCATTATATTTTTTTTTTGGTGGTACTAGGGAAATTGAAGCCCTAAAGATTGATAGGGTGCCCTATAGCTGAGCAACACCCTCAGCCCTTTTTATTTTTATTTTTTTTTAATTTTGAGACAGGGTCTTACTAATTTGCTGAGGCTGGCCTCAAACTTGCAATTTTCCTGCCTCAGTCTCCTAAGTCACTTGGATTACAGGCGTGTACTACTGCACCCAGCTGTAGATTTTTTTAAATTTTTTTTTTTAACTTTCAGATTTAATTTTTTTAAATTTGTATTTGTTTTGTTTTTTGGTACCAGGGACTGAACCCAAGGGCATTTAACTGCTGAGCCACATCCCCAGCCCTTTTTATTTTTTTTTATTTTAAGGTAGGGTCTCACTAGTTTGCTTACAGCCTTGCTAAGTTGCTGAGGCTGGCTTTGAACTTGCACTCTTCCTGCCTCAGCCTTTCGAGCCACTGGGATTGCAGGCATGTGCCACTGTGCCCAGTTATAGTGTTGTTTTTAAATACCTTTTTCATTGCCAAATTTACATAGTTAAAATTAAAGAAAAAGAAGATGTTAAAAAACCACCCACATATCCCACCATCTAGATATAACTACAGTTAACATTCTGGTGCATGTGCACACATACACACACACACACTACATATGCAATCATAGCTATTACTGAGCACTTCTACAGCACCTCACTCTTTGGCTTTTCATATATAATATCCCACTTAACCTTCAACAGTCTTGCAAGGAAGAGATTATTTGCATTTTACAGATGAGGAAAAGAGACTTGCAAGATTTGAGCAGGTGCTGGGCACCGCGGTGCACACCTGTAATCCCAGTGGCTCAGAAGGCTGAGGCAGGAGGATCTCAAGTTTAAGGCCAGCCTCAGCAACTTAGTGAGGCTCTAAGCAACTTAGTGAGACCCTGTTCTATAAATGAAAAATAAAAAGGGCTGGGGATGTTGCTCAGTGGTTAAGCACCCCCTGGGTTCAATCCCTGGTTAAAAAAAAAAAAAATTGAGCATGTATGTGACACATTTTTTTGGTTTGTTTGTTTGTACCAGGGATTAGATCCAGGGGCACTTTTCCACTGAGTTACATCCCCAGCCCTTTTTTGGGGAGGAGGGATGTACCGAGGATTGAACTCAGGGGCACTCGACCACTGAGCCACATCTCCAGCCCTATTTTATATCTTTTTTAGAGACAGGATCTCACTGAGTTGCTTAGCACCTTGCCGTTGCTGAGGCTGGCTTTGAACTCTTGATCCTCCTGCCTCAGCCTCCCAAATTTCTGGGATTACAGGCGTGCACTACCACAGCTGGTGCCCTTTTTATTCTAAGACAAGATTTCTCCAAGTTGCTGAGACCAGCCTGAATTTGGAATCCTCCTGCCTCGGCCCCCGAGCTGCTAGGATTACAGGTGTGGGCCACTGTGCCAGCTGTCAGATTTTAGTTTTTGAAAACTTGCCCTGAGGACTTGTGTGGAATGGCTTGGAGGCCCTGTGAGGAATCAGTGGCTAGAGGGATGGTCTCTTGGAGACCTGATCAGGACCGTGGAGTGGGCGGCATGTATGCCTCTCCCCTTCCTATCAGGGACCCATTTTCTTTACCTGTGGAGAAGACAGAACCCTGTGAAAGACATGGAACTTTTGCCCATCTCACTCACACACCTGGAACAAATGACACAAGTCCAAGTTCTCTGAATGGGTGTGTGTGTGTCCCTTCAGTGTGGGACCCTTTCCCTAGGGGAGAGCTGAGCTGGACAGAGTATGTCCAGAGGGGAGCCCAGGGTTGCCTCCTCTGCTTGCAAGCTACTAAGATGCATGCACGCCTAAACTTAGCCCCAGGAACCACAGGCCCAGGTGGCTGCGTTTCCTAGTTTGCCCAAGGTGACCAGGAAGCCCTGTGCCCACTATCATGGAGGCTGCCCAATTCCAAGCCTCGTTACGCAAAACCAGACACCATCTCTGACTTGCTCAGTTGCAGTTAGGCATGGTCTCCGGGGTGCCACACAGATGTGTAGTGGTCAGCTGGGGTTAGCTCAGCAATAGAACATACGTTTAGCTGGGTTCAATGCCCAGCACCAAAAAAAAAAAAAAAAAAGAAGAAGTGCCATTTCTGCAAAGTCAGGGAGGTGAGAGAAGGAGAGGAAGTCCCCTGAGTCCACTCTGTTGAAAGTTCCTTGGCAGGGCTGGGGTGTGGTCCAGTGGGGAAGTGCTTACCTGGCATGCACAGGCTCTGGGCTTATCCCCAGTACTGCCAAATAAATAAATAAACAAGCAAAGGTCTTTAAAAGAAAGTTCCTTTGAGCCAGGTGCTGTGGTGCACTCCTGTAATCTCAGCAACTCAGAAGGCTGAGGCAGGAGGATTGCAAGTTTTAGGCCAGCTTCAGCAATTTAGCAAGACCTTGAGCAATTTAGAGAGGCCTTGAGCAACTTAGACCCCGGCTCAAAATATAAAATAAAATAATGTGGCTTCACGGGAAAGCAGCCCTGGGTTCGATATCCAGGACCAAAAATTTTAAAAAAAGAAAAGAAATTGTATCTGTCACTTCCAATAGGGCCTGCCACCTGGCACATCAAGAGTATTGGCGGGATGGGTGGGTGGCCCACCTTCTCCTCTTCTGTCTCTTCCCCTGTAAAGAGGCATCCTGGGGGTGGCTCGGGGGCCTGAGGCTGGATGGTGGCTGTGGGGTGGAGCAGGGCCCGAGTCCTGGTCCTTGTTCTGACAGGGCCATGAATGTGCTGTGCCAGAGGAGTGCGCTGTCACTGCCAGGCCCAGGTTTCTGGGACTTGGCTGGTCTGGTGGTTCCTTGAGCCCAGGAAATCCAGGTCTGTGGATGGGGCTGGAAGTCTCAGCTCAGGGCTTCGGGGCCGGGCTGCGGGGCCCGGGCTGCAGGGCCTGTATTTCCTTCCTTGCATGGACGCAGGAATTCTCTGCAGGAAATGGGGGGCTGTGTTCTAATGGAGGTACAGGCACACACTGTCACATTCACCGTTTCAAAGTCGATGCAGTGGGTCAGTGTGGTCACAAAGCTCTGTGACCGTCATCACTATCCAATTCCAAAATAATTTGTCATTCCAAAAAGAAACCCCCCCCCCCACCAGCCCCCCCCCCCCCCCCCCTGGGCCACCACTATTCCCCCTTTTGCCCCCATGTTTTTTTTTTTTTTTTTTGGTCCCTCAGATTGAGCCCAGGGGCACTTAACCACTGAGCCACATCCCAGCCCAGCTCATTTTATTTTGTGACAGGGTCTCACTAAGTTGCTTAGGACCTTGCTAAGTCTCTGTGACTAGCCTTCAACTTCCTGTCTCAGCCTCCCAATGGCTGGATTACTGGTGTGTGCCACCAAGCCTGGCTTTTTTGCGTTTAATCGATCATTCTACCTCAGGCTTCTGAGTAGCTGGGACGACAGAAACCCTCCACAGTGCGTGCCCTTTTACACCTGTCTTCTAATGTAGCACAATTGTCTACGGCCATACCACCCTGAACGCGCCCGATCTCGTCTAATGTAGCACAATGTTTCCATGATTCATCCACGTTGTAGTATGTATCAGTACTTCATTCCTTTTCCTAGCTGAATAATACTCCATTGTATGAATGCACAACACTGTAGATATCCGTTCATCACTTGATGAACATTTGGGTTTCCAGTTTTGGGGTGTGTGTGTGTGTGTGTGTGTGTGGTACTAGGGATTGAATCTAGGGTTTCATGCATGCTAGGCAAGCCTTCTACCGCTGAGCTACATCCCCAGCCCTTTTTATTTTATTTTGAGATAGTGTCTTACTAAATTGTTGAGGCTGGCCTTGGACTTGGGATCCTCCTGACTCAGCCTCCTGAGTTGCTGGGATTACAGGCTTGTGTCACTACGCCTGGCTAACATTGGGAGGTTTTATGTAGACCTGTGTTTGCATTTTTCTTAGGGATACACCTCGGGGTGGAATTACTGGGTCATATAGTAATTCTGTGTGTGACCTTTGAGGAACTGCCCAACTGTTTTCCAAAAGGGCTGCACCATTTTTCACAGACCGGCCAGCAAGGTAGGAAGGGCCTCGCCCTGTACTGAACACTCCCGTGTGCGGGCACCGTGCCGCCTCGGATCCTCACATGTACCAATTATTCCCTCCACTGGACTCAGGAGGACACTGAGGCTCAGAAAAGTGCCATAACTCCCTGAGGGAACACGCGGGGAGGCCTAGATTCACGCCCAGATCTGTCCCTTACGCTTTCCCCTCTACTCCGCGATTGCTGACGGGGTGACCCTGGGGGTGCTAGACTCACAGTGGCCTCCTCCCCTGGCCAATGTTTTACAGACAGGAAAGTTGGACCCCCACTACCCAAAGGTCTGTGGGCACCGCGGGAACGTCTTAGACATCAAGTGGAACCCTTTTGATGACTTTGAGATCGCCTCCTGTTCAGAAGACGCCACGGTGAGTGTGGGCACCTGGCCCCTTGCTTGGAGAGGGTGGGGCGGGGCAGGCAGGCCAGGTGACATCTACTGGGCTCCAGGGGGACCTCACCTTCATCACTGAGGGGAGGTCGCCGCGTGGGGAGGGTGAGAAATTCTGGGCACTGTGGGACTTGGGGACCACTCCTCTCTGGGGGCCTCTGTTTCCCCACCTACAAAATGGGTATAATAGCTTCAGCCCATCTCCTGAGGATCCAGTGAGAGTCGGCTCCAATGGGAGAGCCCACTCTCTAGGGGGCTGCAGAATGCTGCAAGGGACATTTTTATTGTGGTCAAAAAATAACATGCCACTCGATCTCACAGACGGTGGGGAAGTAAACTATAAAATGATGGAAACAAGAATCTTGTTGACCGTGGACCCCATAAAGCTGGGTGTGGTGGCCCACACCTATGATCCCAGCCACTCAGGAGGCTGAGGCTGGAGGATCTCAAGTTCAAGGCCAGCCTCAGCAATTGAGCAAGTCCCTGTCTCAAAATAAAAAGGGCTGGGGATGTGGTTCATGGGTTAAGCACCCCCGAGTTCAATTCCTGCTACCAAAACAAAATATGGGCTCCAGATCCATCCCAGAAGGTCTGTCCACCATCCCAAAAGGTCAAGGTCAGTCCCACCAACTTTTTCTTTTTTTTTTTTTTAGATGAGGTCTTGCTGTGTTGCCCAGGCTGACCTTGAACTGCTGGGCTCCAGTAGTGATCCTCTTGCCTCAGCCTCCTGGGTATCTGGGACTGCAAGCATGAAACACCATGCCCAGTTTTCACCCACTTTTTTGAGTTCCTACTGTATACCAGAGACCTAGTCACTGTCACCACAATGTTCAGTGTCATTTACTTATAATTCATCCTGTAGCTCCTCCTAAAAGAACAATGGTTGTGGCTTAAAAAGCGCAGGTGCAATCAGAAGATGACAGTAAGGTGACGACAGTGCAGGCATCATTCCTTGCAATCCCACTGCATTTTTGACTCATGACACGTAGTTCACTCCGTCTTCCCAGCGACCCCACAAGGGAGAATGTATTTCGGGTGGACAAGCCCAGGGTCAGAGAGGGGCAGCACCTTGCCAGGTGACAATGACAGGTGTGACTGACACCAGAGCCCCTCCTCTGTCGGCTGAGCTGTGCCACGTTCCTCAGAGCCGCAGATGGAGGACACAGGGAAACAGCTCTGTGGGCCGACGCCTGCTCTAGCTGGGCCCTGCCTGGCAGCTGCGGCAGGAAGGGAAATAGAGTGGCTCATAGAACCTCCTGCTGGATGGAAGGAGGCGGAACAGTGTGTCAGGCAAGGCAGGCAGGCACTTCCCAGAGGATTTGTGTCGTGCCCATACAGGACATTGCTGAGAAACATAAGGGACAGTTTCACACCAAAAGGGTAATCAAGGCCTGGGACAGAGGGCCTTTCTCCAGTGAGTGCGGCTGCTGGCAGGATGCCACCCCTAGCTCAGCTGCCCTTCCTGATCCCTTCCCTCTCCAAGCAGCTCTGAAAGCCCCCTAGAAGGACAGTCACTCTCTCTCTTTTTTTTTTTTTCTTTTTGGTACCATGGGTTGAACCCAGGGGCACTTGACCACAGAGCCACATCCCCAGCCCTATTTTAGAGACAGGGTCTCACTGGGTTGCTTAGCACCTCACTTTTGCTGAGGCTGGCTTAGAACTCACGATCCTCCTGCCTCAGCCTCCTGAGCCCTGGGATTACAGGCGTGTGCCACCGCGCCCAGCTAGAAGGTCTATTTATTAAAGACCTCATGGCCTGCCGCGGTCGCTCCTCTGATAGCCCAGGTGCAGTGGCCATGATTATTGGGATTGGGGTGTTTGTTGGTCAGCTCTCTGTAGCTGTGACAAATGCTTAAGAAGACAACCTAAAGGGGGAACGACGTATTTGGGCCCCTGTTTTCAGAGGTTCGATCCACGCTGGGCTGGCTCCACTGCGCTGGGTCTGAGTGGGGCAGAGCCTGATGGCAGAAGGGGGTGGCAGGGGAAAGCCGCTCACCCGTGACAGCAAGTAACAAAGAGAGAGAAGGGTCCAGGGACAAGAAATGCCCTTTCAGGGCACACGGTGAGAGGCGCTTCCTCCAGCTAACCCCCCCACCCCCATCCTAAAGCTGCCACCATGTCCCACAATGCCATCAAGCTATTAATCCCTCTGTGGATCAATCCACTGATGCCGTCGAAGCCTCACGATCTCATCCCTTTCCTGAAGCCCCATCATTGTGGCCTTGGAGACCAAGCCTTCCACCTTCCATGAGCCTTTGGGGGACACTCAAGCCTCAACAGAGGGGAGCAAATTCATTCTGGGTAAATGCATCTGTGGAAAGTGCCAGGCTGCCTCCTCTGTGCCCCCAGGCCCTGGGCTGGGCACCATGGGGATAGGCAGACCTGCCCAGAGCCTGTGTTCCAGCCAAGTCCAGCTCTGTACAGTGACAGCCCTCCCTGGCCTGCCCTGTCTGAAGCCTGTGCCTCTCCAGACAGAGTTCACGTCCTAGTTTCAGATCCAAGGCCATCAGGAAATAAGTGTTAACTGAATGATTTTAAAAGTCTCCCACCTGAAAAACCTGTCTGTCCCTAAGGGAAGTGTACACACATCACGTAGGACCTGAGAACCTGGCAGGACAATAGGAATGTCAAGGCAGCACCATCCCTGGCTGCATCTCCATCAGTGTTCTCAGGATGGGCTTCCTCTTTGCCATGGCAGCCCCCCTCTGTGTTCAGAGGACACCACTCTAGAAGGGAGCCCCAGGCCCTCACGGTGAAGCTCAGCCTAGGACCCCTGCAGCCCAGCCTCCTGGCCAGTGGTCTTTCCTCCCCCAGGCCACCCACAGTTCCTCTCTAACTCAAGTCTGTGGCTGCCCTTCCCTGCTCCAGGGCCCACAGTGATTCCCTAGTGCCCTGAGAACATAGCCCAACCCCTTCATCCGGACAGTTGAGGCTCTACTCTGGGCCTCTGGGCAAGGAGAATTAAGATCACTCTTTGAGCAGTCTTCCTAGGCTGAGAAGCAGATTTGCACTGGCATCCAGCCTGGGAGACATGCCTACAGTCCACCCACCGGCCACCACCTCCGGCCGTCAAGATGGCAAAAATGAAGCCAGGCATGGTGGGACACAGCTGCAATCCCAGGCACTCAAGAGGCTGAGGCAGGAGGATCGCAAGTTTGAGGCCAGCCTCAGCAATTTATCAAGGCCCTAAGCAACTTAGAGAGACCCTGTCTCAAAGAAATAAAAAGAGCTGGGAATGTAGCTCAGTGGTAAAGAATCCCAGGTTCAATCCTTAATACAAAAAAAAAAAAAGATGGTAAAGATTTCCTAGCGGCATATTTGGAAACATAGACTCATCTCCGATCAAAATTGGCCCCTGTTCGGGTTGGAGGACTAGGTAAAGCCCTGTCCCCCCTCTGAGTGAGGAGCAGCTATGCAGAGCTCCTCCTGACCTTCTGCTGGACACCACACGGATCTGTGGCTTAGGGTGGAAAGGTACCAATGTGCCCCGGATGACATTCCCGGACCATGTCTCCCTACCAGATTAAGATCTGGGACATCCCCAAGCAGCTGCTGACAAGGAACTTCACAACCTACAAGAAGGAGCTGGTGGGCCACTCGCGCAGGGTGGGCCTGGTGGAGTGGCACCCCACGGCCGCCAACATCCTCTTCAGCTCTGGCTACGACTACAAGGTGAGGCTGCCTCGGAGTTTCCCGAGGCTTCCCATTCGAGTCCCCGCGAGCTGGGGGGCTTAGGACAACAGAGACTCACTCCCTCCCAGTGCTAGAGATGAGGAATTGGGAATCATGGTGTTCGGAGGCCATGCTCCCTCCCGAGGCTCCAGGGAGAATCCTTCTGTGCCTCTTCTGGCATCTGGGGGCTCCAGGAGTCCTTTGGCTGGTAGCTGCGTCACCCCAGTCTCTGCCTCTGTCTTCACGTGGCCACATCCCTGTGTATTCTTTCCTGGTCTTAGAAGGCACACCTGTCATTGGATTGAGGGCCCACCCTAATTTATTGGGACCTCATCTTAATTAACTATACCTGCGAAGACCGTATTTCCAAATAATGTCACATCTGAGGTTCTGGGTGGCCATGAGTTTTCTCAGGGGGACACTATTCAGGCCATTACTGCCTGCCTGGAAGGGACCAGCTTCCTTTGCTCCACTGACTGCCCATCAATGGGGACAGTTTACAGCCCAGGAGACCTGGATGCTGTCCAGCTTAGTCACGGACTTGCAGTATGATCTGGGACTGTCCCTTTGCCTTTTCTTGGCCTCAGTGTCTGTGGACCAGTGGGCAGGTGAGACCCCAGCTATAGATTCCCAGCTCTTCCCCTCTGACTGTCTTGGGTTTGCAGAGGCACTGCAGGGACCTCTGTGGTGGGTCAGGGAGTGGCTGGGAGCCCTTGGAGGGCTCTGGGCCTTCCACGGCCCTCTGATCACAAGTGGATTTCTGAAGCCAGGTGTGTGATGCACACCCAGCCACTCAGGAGGATTCCAAGTTCAAGGCCAGTCACAGCAACTTAGGGAGACCCTTTCTCAAAAAATAAAAAGAGCTGGAGATGTAGCTCAGTGGTAAAGTGCCCCTGGGTTCAGTCCCTAGTACCTGGGCGGGGCGTGGGGGAAAAAGTGCTTTTGTTACCTGTTTGTACAGCCCCGTCTGCCGGGCTACCCTGTGCGGATGTGCAGGCTATTCTGCACCCAACTCCAGGGGGCGCTGTTCACATCCTAGGCTGTGAGCTCGGGTGGCCTTGGAGCTGCACAGGGCCCTGGTTATCCTCGGGAAGTGGAAACTGCAGCTGATAACTGTCTGAAACCCCCTGGATTAGCTAGTGGGTCCCCTGGGGTCCTGCCCGCATGGAGGCTTTCTTGCTCAAAGGCAGATGGTGTTTTCCTGTCACTGCCGACAGCCTGACTCCTGGCTTCCCCCTCCCGCCACAGGCGCGCCCACCCTCCTTCCCTGTCTTCTGGGCCTGGCCGCCAGCTGCGGCTTCCCTCCGGGGGATACTGTGTTTCCCTGCAGCCTGGTCAGCCGTGTGGCTCTGGGGGCTGGGCGGGGATGGCCTCTGCACTTAGAGCCAGCACTCTGCCGTGCAGGTGATGGTCTGGAACCTGGATACAAAGGAGTCTGTCATCGTAAACCCCGTGAGGACAATTACCTGTCACCAAGATGTGATCCTCTCCATGTCCTTCAACACCAACGGCAGCCTGCTGGCTACTGCCTGTAAAGACCGCAAGATTCGGATTCTTGACCCCCGTCTAGGAACTATCCTCCAGGTCAGTGCTGGGCCAGGGTCTGGCTTGGAGTCCAAGAATGGGGTGGGGAGGCTTCTGAGAACAGCTGGCCCCCGGTCAGCACCCGACTCTCTCTGTAGGCAGCATCCGCATCTGGCCCCTCGGCACCACTGGGAAGTGAGATAAGTCATGCCCATTTTTCAGGTGAGAAAACTGAGGCCAAAGAAGCCTGAAGTGTTTTTTGCACTTCATGAGCTAGGATTGGAACCTGGTCTAACTCCAAGACTGGTCTGTGTTCCTCAGCTCTGTCACTAGCTGGGGGTCAGAACCCCAGAGGAGTGACCCTCGGCAAGCACTTCCCACTCTCTGAGCCTTTCTGCTCATCGGCGACAATAGGCTGTTAGTCCTTCCTCTCAGAAGACTAAATAGAACAACCCTAATGCCACCTGCACCCAGCCCCATGCCTGGCTCACTTGGCAAGATGTGGAGCTGGCGGAGGTTTCCTACTTCTGAAAAGTAGTGGGCAAGCTGGGTGTGGTGCCGCACACCTGGAACCCCTCAGCTCAGGAGGCTGAGGCAGGAGGAGCATGAGTTCAAAGCCAGCCTCAGCAACTTAGAGAGGTCCTCAGCAACTCAGTGAGACCCTGTCTCTACATAAAAATATAAGAGGGCTGGGATGTGGCTCAGGGGTTACGTGCCCCTGGGTTCAATCCTCAGTACCAAAAAAAAAAAAATAGTGGGAGAATCTTCGTGTAGAGAGGAATGACCTGGGAAGGCTTCCTGGAGATGGTGCCCCTGGGTGGCTTCTTCAGCAGAGTTGGGGGGCTCCTTCCACGTGGAGCAGAAACCCCAGCTCATGGCCCAGGAGTGCCCTCCCAGCGTCCCCGACACTGACTCCACCTTTCCCTCCAGGAAGCCAGCTACAAGGGGCACCGGGCCAACAAGGTGCTGTTCCTGGGGAACATGAAGAAGCTGCTGTCCACAGGCACGTCTCGGTGGAACAACCGGCAGATGGCCCTGTGGGACCAGGTGAGCCTCAGGCATCGCCCAGCCCTCAGCTGAGGGTGGGCTTCGTCCTTCTCTCAGGGGTCTCTCACACACATTAGCAGAGTCTGCCCAGGGCTGGGGGGGAGGGGGGTTGGTTCAGGGTGAAGAACAGGGAGATGCCCTGGGCAAGGCCAGACCTTGTGCAGCTGATCACTGAAGGAGTCAAGAGCCCCCGGCTTCAATTCCCAATGCCAAGGCAATAAAATATCACACAAGATGGGGGGACAGGCAGGCAGCAGGGGAGCAGAGTGAGATCAGGTGTGCCAAAAGTGACTCGGTAATGACAACATGTGGACCAAACAGGTGGAGGGGTACATAAGTGTTTTATTTATTTGTCATGGGACTAGGGATTAGACCCAGGGATGCTTAACCACAGAGCAACACCCCCCAGCCCTTTTTATTTATTTATTTATTTTATTTTGAGAGGGTCTTACTAAGATTCTGAGAGTCTTGCTAAGTTGCTGAGGCTGGTCTTGAACTTGCAATCCTCCTGCCTCAGCCTCCCAAGTTTCTGGGATTACAGGTATGCACCACCCGCCCAGCTTGTTTTAGTCCTTTAAAATGTTATGTCCACCTGACAGTAGCCCACAAATTGGTCCTCAAGAGCCAGGGACTCAGCACATACACACAAAGTCAGTATTCTTTCTCACACACACACAAGTGTGCACACACGGCCCTATGGCAAGGATCCTAACCTCAGAGCACCACCAAGGCCCCCAGGGGACTCACGGGCCTTCCTGGTCTCCCTTCCCTTGCAGGACAACCTCTCTGTGCCTCTCACAGAGGAGGACCTGGACGGCTCCTCAGGTGTGCTGTTTCCCTTCTACGACGTGGACACCAACATGCTCTACATAGTGGGGAAGGTCAGCCTGGCTCAGGAGGGAGGTGGCCACCTGGAGTCCTGAGGCAGAAGGCAGAGATGTCCCAGCCTTGGCCCCACTGGTGCCCAGCCTGGGCCCTTGTGGGTATAGGGCAGGGACAGGCCACTCTTCCCCATGGAAGAGCACCCCTCTGCCACCTTCCTCGCTCCAGAGGGACCCCTGGGACCAGGGCTTTGCTGGACACTCCAAGCTTGACCCTCCCCAACTCTGTGGGCACTCTGAAGTTGGGGCAGAGCAGGTGTCCACCGGGTAGGGCTGTCCATACCTGGTATCTCTGACCTCTGCACCCATGCCAGGATCGGTGCTCTCCTCACCTCCAAGTCATTATGACAACCAGCAATGTCCCCCGAGGGCCAAGACTCCCCGGTTGTCTCTGGGGACTTGCCAGTGCTGACCTCCGTGGGTGGCACTGGGGTGGGCGAGGTTCAGGCCTGTCTCCCCAGAGCTTGGCCTGGCCTTGGAGGAGTCTGGGGGTTGGTCGTGGTCGGAGGACACTCTTTCCTGCCTTGATGAGGGGCCCAGCTCCCTGGTGTCCCCTGTGGGGGGGGGGCTGCCAGCCGTTCATGCTGAGAGCGGTGGCTGGGGTGTGCTGCTGGGCACCGGCCGAGTCTGGCCTCCTCGTTTCCCAGGGAGATGGCAACATCCGCTACTATGAGGTGAGCGCCGAGAAGCCCCACCTGAACTACCTGACCGAGTACCGCTCCTACAACCCGCAGAAGGGCATTGGTGAGCGGGACCCCGGGCTGTGGGGGTGGCAGGGAGCAGCCAGCGGGAGGGGACCCACAGCGGCCCTGACCTGTGGGCTGTCTTAGCACTTCCTGTTGCCAGTAACACAATATTGACAACGGGTGAGGTGTGTTTTGACTCGGGATTCTCAAGGTCCAAGGTCGGGGGGCTGCATCTGGTGATGGTCTTTGTGCTGGCAGAGTCCCAGGGCAGCACAGGGCGTCATGAGATGGGACAGGAGCATGCATGTGTGTGGCTTTTGGTCCCAGAGAGCCACTGGGGTTCAGCCAAGAGGGCTCTACCCTGATGACCTCATCCAATCCTAATCCCTCCCGTCTCTCCACGCGGCAATTGGATTCAGTTCCCAGCTCTTAACTCCTCACAGCAGAGATGGAATTTCAGTATCTGAGGTCTTGGAGGACTCGGATATTGAAATTCATATATTGAAATCGGAGCCTCCAGGGAGAAAGCCTCTCCACCTTTCTTTAGGGGTTTAAGAAGATCCAACTTTTTATCCATAAGAAACCCTCTTTAGCTGGATGCGGTGGCACATGACTATAATCCTAGCTTCTCAGGAGGCTGAGGCAGGAGGATGGCAAGTTGGAGGCAAGAGTCCGACTGTCTCAACCCCATTCTCCCAGTGCAGGGCCCGGCCTAGCGCAGGTGTCGTTCATGAGCTTTTCGCTGAGGGGAGGTGGCAGGAGGAGGGCAGTCTCTCTCCACGTCCAGGTGTGCAGCCTGGCTTTCCCCTCCTGCTAGGTCCCTGTGGCCCCAGCCCAGCCGGAACCTCTTGGCTCTTCTTGGTCCTCTGTCCCCAGGTACCATGCCAAAGAGAGGTCTCGAAGTGTCCTCCTGCGAGATCTTCCGCTTCTACAAGCTGATCACAACCAAAAGCCTCATTGAGCCCATATCCATGATTGTACCCCGGCGGGTAAGGGAGGTGGGGGCCATTCTGGAGGGAAGGGGGGGAACCCATCCTGGAGAAGACAGACCTGGGGTTGTCAGGGTCCCAGACCCTCCAGCCCATACCTTGGTGGCAGCCACAGGACAGCTGAGAGCCGCTTCTCCAAGGGAAGGCCCTTCTCATGGTCAGGGTGACATCACTGGGACCAGGAGTCCTGGCTCTCTCCCTACCTCAGCTCTTGAGCTGCTGTGTGTCTTTGGGCAAGCCCCTTTGGTCTCTGGGCCTGGGTTTCCTCGATTCAGCAGGAGTCACCATCTGGACTTTCCTTGCAGTCGGAATCCTACCAAGAGGACATCTACCCGCCCACAGCAGGGGCCCAGCCCTCCCTGACTGCCCGGGAGTGGCTCAGTGGGATGAACAGAGGTGAGGAACGTGGGAACAGCCAACTGTGGGGGGAAGTGGAATCCCAGTGGCCCAAGAGCAGTTGGACCTGTATTTTTATTTTCTTGTGGCCTCTGAGGAGAGGCCCTTGACAGACACGTGAAAGGCCAGGAAAGCAGGGACTTACCCAAGTGGCTCCGAAAACTCCCTCCAACCCAAGGGGTATTTCCCCAGGGAAAGCATCACACCTGGGCTCCGCAGGGCGACTGACCAGTCTCAGCCAGACTCCCCAGCCGGTCCCCACTTCTATGGCTGCAATTATTTGACTCCAGGGAACCCTCTAGGCTGCAGGCCCCACCCAGGCTCCCTCAGCCTGACCTGCCCCTCTGTCCCCCTCCTGCCCAGTGAGGGCGGGCTCCTCCCTCCCCACCCAGCTGCTCCCTGCCCCCTCCGTTTCCTTCCACGCGGGTGAGGGGAGCCTCCTGGTGCACTGGAAGAGCCTCAGCTGGGGGCCAGAGGCAGAGTCAGCTCCCTGTTCTGTGTGGCCCTTAGACAGGGCCTGCTCTTCCCTGGACCTGTTTCCTCCCCCATATGCCTGATGCCCACCTCCCCTGCTTCCCAGGACGGTTGGGAGGACTAATGAACTTGGTAGATGGCAGAGTGCAGTGTGATAGGACCTTTTTTAGAGTCAGGACAAGGTGTCACTCAAGGAGTTCCCCGTGCTTGGGGACAACCCCAGGGCCTGATCTGGGCTGTTCCCACAAACGAGCCTTCGCTTAGTTACACACCTGGGTACTCGGGTCTGATTGTCCCATCCATCCGTGGACTTGTGCCATTCCGCAGGTGGCTGGATCTCCTGCGCCTGTTGTATGTCGCTGTGTGACTGTGTGTCTGCCTGTGTCCGCGTCCCATGCTCAGTCCTCTCACCGCCCTTGGCTTCTTCCCTCCCAGAGCCAATCCTGGTGTCCCTGAGGCCTGGCTCCCAGCCGCTGAGCCCCCGGCCACTGCCTCCAGAGAAGCCCCTCTCCACCCCCACGGCCCGGACCTCCCCCCTGCTCTTGGACCACACTGCAAAGCTGTCTGCAGAGGACGGCCAGAGGCCCCTCTCCCAGCAGGAGGGGAAGGCGCCAAGGTGGGCTGCGGAGCACAGGCCCGAGGAGAAGCAGCCCTGGCTCACGAATGGCTTTGATATTTTCGAATGTCCCCCACCAAAGACAGAGAACGAGGTGTGAAGGGGGTCTTCTGGGGGGCAGGGTCAGTGGAAGGGCCCCGAGGGAGGGGGGGAGGGCGGGGTGAGAGGTGCAGCGCGCTGTGTGACCTGTCTAGGCCTTCACTCACTCTGTTCTCCCTCAGTGACTTAGACAGGTGGTGGGAAGCCCTTTGTCAAGTGCCTGGGGCTTGACCTGCTGAGCATCCAGACCCTTCCCCTGCTGACATTCTGGGGTTTCCTGGGCTTTTGGAGTCAACATCTGTTACATCCCTTCTGAGAAGCAGGGCTAGAGGCTTGGTGATCACATTCCCTGGGCAGCCCTGGGGTCAGGGCAGAGGAGCTAAAAGCACAGGGGTGGGTGTCTCACAGAGGGGTCTGATCATGGCCTTGGAGCCAGGGCCCGAAAGTCTTCATGCTTCAGTTTCCACGTGTCCAGGGAGGCTACAGACACTGCCCCCTCGTTGGGGATGTCGTGAGGATTCAGGGGGATAACGAAGGCCCTTAGCAGGCACCCAACGTCTAATAGCTGTTCTACACAGCAGCCACAAATGAGGAGATTGATTTTCTATCCCCCCAGTTCCCAGAGGAGGAAATTGAAGCTCAGAGAGGGTAGGTAAATTGCCCAGGGTCACACAGTTACCGATGGTGAAAACACCGATCTCCAAATATCCTTTCATCCATCCTTTAGGGATCCACGAAAGCAAGATATGTCTGAATCATTCAAGACTTTTACAAATTGTTGGGTAAACTAAACAAGATCTTTGTAAAAGATCCAAGCAACAGTGACCCTTCATTAATTTAATCACCATTAAATGGCTTTGATATTTTCGAGTGTCCCCCACCAAAGACAGAACGAGGTGTGAAGAGGGGGTCTGCTAGGGGGCGGGGTCAGTGGAAGGGCCCCGAGGAAGGAGGGGAGGGGGACAAAAAGAAGTAATGTTTTGGCTCTTCTGCTGGGGACCTGCCCCAGCCACAGTCCCAGGCCACCCAGGTGATCTTGCCCTCTGCCCTATGCTTTTCCAGCTGCTGCAGATGTTCTATCGGCAACAGGAGGAGATCCGAAGGCTCCGCGAGCTGGTGACCCAGCGGGAAGTCCAAGCCAAGCAGTTGGAACTAGAGATCAAAAACTTGCGCATGAGCTCAGCATAGTTCTGAGCAGAGGCCTCTGCCATCCTGGCCCTCAGGGACGCCACTTGGCTCTGTGGGGAGGTCCAGAACCAAACCACAAGTCCCCCAAGAACAACCACTATTTCTATATTTTTTACCAGAAAACAAAACTCTCAGTCACTGAAGGAGATTCCAGTAGGACGTGGTGCCGTTTCCTATTTGCCTTCTTGCAGCAGTTTCTGCACCGACTGATTTTAGATGTTCTGTTGAATTCTGCTTCTGAGGTCCACGTGGAGCTGTGACTTCTCAAGGGGAACGAACACTGCAGGAAGTTAGAGCTGGTAGAAGTGGGGAGGTCAGGCTGCCTGTCATCTCGTGTAGAATGGGGGGAAACGGAGGCAGGAGGGAGTGTCCCCACTCACCCCATCCCAACTGACACATGCTTCATATGTTAGACTATAGAATCCATAATTCTGCTACTCAAAAAAAAAAAAAAATTTAGAAGTTTGAAAACCAGTGATCTGGCCCAACTCATTCTTTGAAAAGTGAGGAAACTGAGGCTGAGAGAGAGGCAGGTGAGGCTGGGCTGAGCACCTGGTCTCCTGGGTGAGTCTTTCTGCTGTTTCTGGCCCTGTGTACTTCTCAGCCCCCAGGACAGGAATATGTTGGGTCTGGCCTCAACTGGGCCTTGACTGACTTGGTGACCTCTTGCAAAGTCCTTCTTTCTCTGGTCTCAGTCTCTCCATCTTAAGAAGGGGGACTCTGGATGAGCTCCCTCCACAGGATCTGCCACCAGAGACCTTGACTTGAGGAAAACCACATGTGGGGCCTGGGTTTGCTGCAGAAACTCACACTGACCAAGGGGTCAAGTTTAAGGTCAGGGAAATGAATCAAGATTTAGCCCAATTCTAGAACTCAGACAGGCAGTCAAAACCTTCCTTTCCAGCCTGCATCAGATGGATGTGAGTAGACCCTGTCTCCTATGTGGGGATGCAGACCTCAGAACTGTGTCCTTGACTGCTGACTACACAGCGCCTCCTGCAGGAGAATGTAGGCAAAAGAGCCCCCACTCCCCAGAAGGCAGTGGGTCCCCAGCACTGGGTACCAGCAGAGCCCTGTGGGCAGTTTCCAGAGAGGGATGAATGCACTAGGTAAAAAGCAGGACCACAGATAACCCTGAAGTTCCCTTCTGGCCCAAAAGTCTTCTGCATCATCCCTCTTTTGTGAATCTGTTTCCTGGGTCAATTCAGCAGCCAAGCCAGACTGGGAATGATGAGGAGTAAAACCCATTCTTCCTTCCCCAAGAGGAATAGACATCACATTGGGTGACTTCCCCATCACATTGGGTGACTGGAGCTCAGATGGGGACAGCAGGAGCTACCAGCCTGGTAGGCAGTCCTGTACATTAGAATCCCCTTGACAGCATTCAGGAAATGCAGATGCCCAGGACTCACCTGGATCCACTGAAGCCAACTCTCGTGAAGGGCCTGGCCCTCTGCATAAGCTGCCCAGGTGATTCTGCAATTCAGTGGACTAGTCTGTCAGTACCTATTTGCCATAAAGATGAGAATAGTGAGTGCCAGACAGGAGCCTGGGAATCAGTGCTGATGGTCATCTCACACCCCCCACCCCCACTAGCTAAGGCTGATGTCCCCCGTTAGCACACACCAGAGATCCACGGTCCAGGTCTTATCTCCATTTCCTCAGTTACTGAGACTCACTCCCAGCCAAAGCAACAGCCAAGCTTGCCTTACTGTGCTGCAGAGCAAAAAGCCAAGTCCCAAGCATTGTCAGGAAAGTAGAGTCCCTGGATGGAGTAACCCCATGCACTTCATTTGTGGCCACAGTTTACAGTTTACACAGCCCCTTGTCCATTCACTGGCACGTGCTACTGGAACACAGGTCTGTGAGTATTATAATCCCCCTGTTCAGAAGGGAAGACCTAGCCTCAGAGAAGTGAAAACCTCATGTCCAAGGTCATTAGCTGCCAAGCTAGAGGTGTGTGTGTGTGTGGGGGGGTGCATCTAGAGAGCTTCTGAACATGACTGCCCGGTGCCATCCCTTCCCAGCTCCCTCCCCCCCAGGGACCCAGACCTCCCACTCAAAAGCAGGACACAGGCAGCTTTGAACAAACTCTTTTTCTTTCCTTTTTTTTTTTTTTTTTTTACATTTAGAATAAATTATTTAAATTATTTCACAGCAAGGGAGAGGGATAGATAATTTTTATCCGATATTTTTTAGAACCATCTTTTTTAAAAACTCCTTTTTTTTTTTTTATGTTCTTGAGCTGATGGAGCAGAACATGCCCAGCACTGGACATGTCCTGCACTCGAACAGTCTCCTTACTGCAGACCCCGGGAGCCCCCTTTCTGTTGACTCAGGAACTTTCCGAGGGTGGGGACAGTACTGGGAGATAAAGTTTGGCTGGTGTCCATCTTAGCTCTATAATAATTGTGCTTCCTGGGACAAAAGTTGAGAACCATCATAGAGGAAACAGGAAGTCAGAAATCAATCTATGCTTTTAATATGAAACCGTGCCTGAAACAGTTTGAATGATTATTTTAATGTTTCTGAAATTCCTTGTACCTTTGTAATAAAAAAATAAAAGAAGTAAAAGTGAAAATAGATACGGAATTGTGCAATGGAAAGAATGTAACAAAATAAACATCCGGCTATAGACAGTTTAATACACGCAGCTTTTCGCTTCTTGATTTTGTTTCACTAATGCCAAGTAAGCAACTACTTTAGAGCCAGAAACAGGGCTGGGAAACAGGGCAGGTCCTAACACAGAGACCCCCTTCTCTTTGGAAGTGGCTGGGAGTATGGAGAGGGGCCAAGATGAGGGCAGTGCTGGCTGTTCTGGGAGGAGAAGCTGGGGAGGCTTCCTAGAGGAGGTGACAGGCCTTAACCCAAAGTTAATGAGGAAAAGAGGACATTTGGGGAGCTGAATGGAACTCCAAGCAGTGAAAAAAAAATGCAAGTCCCCCAGTCTGGAATCAAGCAATTGGTGGAGCATCAATATGGCAGGGACCAAGGGTCTTAAAAACCAAGGACCTTGTAAATTCTAGCCTGAGGATAACTGATTTTGGCCAAAAAGCCAAGAAGCGATTCTTTAAATTGTGAAAAGGGGCTCTCCCAGCAAAAAGGCACAGAGTATAAGGGAAAGAGTGTGGGTGATGCTCACTGTCCAGAAAGGCCACCCAACTTCGGTTAGGAGGGAAGCCCATTTTCTTCCAGTCACTTAGCCCAATAGGAGCGAGCCCGGCTTTCCGCGGTGGCCACCTGCGGTCCAGGGCAGGCGCAGGAAGTACCCTGCTGGCGGGAGGATGCAGGGAGGCAGAGTCCTTGGCACCGCCGGATGGTGCCGCAGCTTCGCAGCCGCCCAGCGCCTGACCAGCCTCCGCCCCGCCCCGGACCCCGCCAGGTTTCGATTCCGTGGGAGCCGCGCGGTTCCGCGCTGCGGGGGCGCGAATGGAGGGCGCTGGGGCGCGGAGCACGACCCCCGGGGGGCTCGGCTGTGCGGGGCCCGAGGAGGCGCGCGGCTGGCTTTGCCCGGAACATAGAGACCGCCCCGCGGAGCTCTTCTGTCGCCGCTGCCGCCGATGCGTGTGCGCGCTGTGCCCGGTGCTGGGCGCGCACCGCGGCCACCCGGTGGGCCTGGCGCAGGAGGAGGCGGCCCACGTGCAGGTGGGGAGCGCGGGTGCAGGTGGGGAGCGCGGAGCGCGCGGGGAGGGGGCCGAACCCCTGAGTAACGGACAAGGAGAGCGCGTGCCCGAGGTCCCACTGTCAGTTCCCTGTTAGGAGCTGGAAACGTGAAGATGGCCCCAGAGGTCATCAAGGGGATAGACCTAAGAACCAGAGACTGAGGCCCGAGGAAGGGCAAAAGTGATCCAAGGCCACCTGGTCAGCTTCAAAAGAGGTGGGTTTAGGAGTGGGAACTGGGGAGCCCAGGCTGGTAGATGTCCTTGGCCTTGACCACCATGATGGTCCACCCCACTACCGTGGGCTATTAGAAAAGCTACTTCTTAGTTAACAGAAGTGAACCCCATCTACCCACAGATGGCAAACACCCACACAGAAAGCGACCCAACTGTGAATCGTACCATTGCTCTAGAAGTGGCCTCAATGGCCCCTCTATCTCCCTGGGTGCGCCTCTCTTCCCTGCATGCCTTGCAGCTCCACAACCCAAGCCAGCTGTTAATAGTATTAGCCATTTATTAATAACAAAAGGAATGTTCGGGAGCCGGCCTTGAATTCAGTCCTCCACCAGCCAATAGCCCCCACCCAGGGAGATGCTTTTCATCTTGAATCCCTCACTCTGATGTAACACTGTTAATGGCCAGGGTCTCGGGACTCCTGTGCCAGCCCTGCTCTGAACTTGTTCTGTGGCTCTGGTCAAATCCCTCTTCTCTGGACTCCCTGAAGGTCTGCCTAGCTCTCCAGTCTCTACAGACCTAGATTCTACCATATCCATCCCAAAGAAGTCCTCTGTGAGGAGCCCTGCCCTGAGAGAACTTTTTCCCTACACAGCATGACTTAACACCACCACACTGTGACAATCTTGGCGTTCCAAGGAGAAACTGGACCCATTGGGGGGCTACTGGTGGAGACCTGGGTTCAAGGCCTGCCAGAGCCTTCCTGTTGGTCTCTATAAAATGGCTGTAATAATAATACTTGCTCCCCAGAGCTATGTTATTCAGAGTTAAGAAGGCTGCTTTCCAGAGATCCGGTGTTCCATTTGTCCACCTGCCTGACCACCTTTCTTTGCACACTCATGTTGCATCCACACATCTACAACTCACCTATCTGTCCATCATCCATTCATCCATCACATCTATCCATACCTTGTGCCATAGGTGTGTCAAGTCATTGATCCTATTCTTCTCTAACCTGGAGGAGTTCCTGGCTGGTTGAGGGAGGACAGAGGGTGACATTACAGTGTGATAAGCCTTTTAAGGTAGTGGTGAGAACCAGATGGAAGAGAACTGGAGGCAGGATGCCCCAGAAGATTTCTTGGAGAAGGTGTCATTGGAAGTGGCCTTGAAGGATGGGTCAGATCCCAAGACACCTGGGTCTGGAGGAAACAGGCACCTGGAGGTTGGGGGTGTTCTTGACCCATGATGGACAGGACCTGGGTGCAAGGGCAACTGCCTGTCATCCCAGCAACTTGGAAGTCTGAAGCAGGAGGATTGTAAATTTGAGGCCAGCCTGGGCAACTTAGTGAGCCCCTGTCTCAAAAAATAAAAAGGGCAGGAGATATAGCTCAGTGGTAGAGCACTCGCCTAGTATATGTGAGACCCAGCGTTCAATCCCCAGTACCAAAAGAAAAAAGCAACAAAGAAGGAAAAAATAGCAATTTCGAAAAGCAGAGCTGGGCCAGGTAGGAGGAGCAGTCCAGCCCTGAGTGATACCTTATGTGGCCTCTCAGGATCAGTGTGGCCCAAGTCTCAGCTCATCCTCCAATTTGCCACCAGACTTGGGGCGAGTCATCTCACCTTCCAGTTCTCAGATACCTCTGCTGACAAAAAGCATAGGAGTGAATAGAGATAAGGGTCTGTTATCTGAAAAGGGACAGAGATTTGAATTTTTTTCCCTTAATTCTCTCATCTACAGAAACTCATCCAAGAATGTTTACAGCAACTGGAGACCAAGAAGCAGCATCAAGTTGGCAACATCACCCAGATAGAAGATGCAGCCGAGAAGCTCAAGGCAAGTGGACGCTTCTTCCCTCTTCCAGTGGGGTTGTCCACATTTCCCCTCAGACGTGAGTGTCCCCTAGTATGGCATCAGGGAAAATAAAGACCAATCTAAAAGGGGAGGTCAGTGTGGTGGGCCTGGAGCTGACGGACAAATTCAATGCAGAACCATGAAGTGGGCATGCAAGTGAGGGCCCTGAGACTGCCGCATCATCAGCCACGGGGAGAATCTGCCTGGGCCAGCGCCCCAGCCCTACCTCCTGCCACCGCCAAGGCGCCATCTTGTAGCAGCTGCTCTTCTCTCCTGGGGCTTCTAGACCTCCACCTCCCACACTCCAAATTGCCTTAAATAGAGCAAAATGCAGTCTACTAGTTGGGCGCAGTGGCGCACGCCTGTAATCCCAGCGGCTTGGGAAGCTGAGGCAGGAGGATCATGAGTTCAAAGCCAGCTGCTCAGCAGTTTAGCAAGGCCCTAAGCAACTTAGTGAGACCCTGTCTCTAAATTTATAAAAAGGAGGGGGTGGTGCTGGGAGTGTGGCTGAGTGGTTAAGTGCCCCTGGGTACAATCCCAGTACCAAAAAAATTCAGTTTACTGAACATACAAATTTCTCTTAAGGTCTCTCCGCCGTGAATGAAATTAAATAAGGTATACATATATTGTATAAATACATACTTCTTCACGCTTTCCCTTTCATACAATGTGTATTTTCTGTATCTATTTCCTTATTTTTTTTATTGGCACTGGGGATTGTGCCCGGGGTGCTGCTCTCCACTGAGCTACACCCCCAGCCTTTTTTATTCTTTTATTTTGAGGCAGGACTACACTCAGTTGCCCAGGTTGGCCTCAAACTTGTGACTCTCCTTCCTCAGCCCCCAGGTAGCTGGAATCCCAGGCCTGTGCCTCTGTGCCCAGCTGTACAATCTTTACTTAAATGGATTCTTTTGAGGGTTTTGGGCACAAAGTTGGGTCTGACACTGTGAGTTGCCACTTTGACTATGAAAAAGTTGTCACTTCTTTAGGCGCCTTCTGTGAGAACTCAGGTGGGTCCTTGTTCCCCTGGGCCTCAGCGGCTCCCTCCTCACAGTGAGGGCTGGGATGGGGGATGCCCTACAGGGTCCCACCTCACAGAGGCCTGGTGCTGCTGACTGACCCACACAAGGCAGAGGGGAAGACTGGCTCTGGCCGGGGGAGCCGCTGGCACCAGCTCTTCCCAAGCCAGGCCCACAGTAGCGTGGAGCAGGGCCTGAAAACCACAGCATGCTAAGGCCATGAAGAGGCCTCCATCTTTGCCTGACCTCTGTTATCTGCCAGGTGTCTGCGTGCCCCAGTGTGATGAGACCTTTGTGGCTCACACTCATGGCCTCTGTTTAATTATTAATAGTGTCCCTCATGTCTCCAAAAGCAGGACTCTGGGCTCAGGAAGATATGACTGTCCAAAAGAACTTGGAAAGTGAAAGTTGGCGAGTGCCTCTGTGCAAAGGGTGGGGGAGGCGCCCGGCTGTTCGTCCTGAAGAAGACAGCCACGGTGCAGGTCCGCTGCCTGCAAATCCCTGAGCAGATACAGTTTGGAGGTCCCCAGGGAAAGACATAGGACCCTCGTGGAGGGCCTAAGGGCTGTGGAGGTTCCAGCAACTTTTTGATTTAAAATAATCATAGATCCAAAGGAAACTGCAAAGATAGTACACAGAAGTTTTGTGTACCTCCTCCTAGTTTGCCCCCAAGAATTGTGTACCTCTTATATAGCTATAGTGTAATATCAGAATCAGAAAATATTTATGTCCATTTCCCCGGGCTGGCCTTGAACCCCTGAGCTCCTGCCTGGCCAACCTGTAGCTGGGGTTGCATGCTGCCAATATCGGTGTTAAAGGCTGTATATTCCATTCTTTGTATATTCCATGATTCATCAAGCCATTTTCTGCATGTCAGACAGTTAGATTATACCTGGTTTTCCCCTAATGCAAAAACAGTAGTGCAGAGAACATATTTTGGCCCCTTGATTTGCCTCCTTTGGGACAGGATCCTAGAAGGGACACATTGCAATAGGCACAGCATGTGTGAGAAACCTAAGGCATCCTGTGGAGTCGCAGCCCATGTGGTTTGTGGCAGAGAGGTTGGGGCAACCACGCCTCCTGCAGTGGCAAATGAGGGGAAAGACCGTTCGCATGGAAACAGCCTTGTAAACAGATCAATAAAGTTTGTGCAAGGTCCAGAGTCTGTTGTACAGAAGCCAGTGACCAGGACTAATCACCCACTCCCTTTTCAGGGCACAATTGAGAAGGACTGGATCATTAATCCCCAGTCAACACCCATTTATGATCACATCCTTGTTAATAGGCTTCCCCCATCATGGCACCTTAGGGGCCAATATATCCAGGTGCAGGGAAAATCCAACACCCGCCCGCAACCCTCTCTACTCAAATGGGAATAGATGACACTACATCTCTTCTATGCTCTTCTTCCCGGTTTCTTCCAAATTTTCTTTTCCCAGGGCTTCACACATGCTAAGCAAGTACTCTACCACTGAGCTACATCCCCAGTCCTTTTTTTATTTTTAAATTTTGAGACAGGGCCCTGCTAAATTACCAAGGCTAGCCTCAAATTTGTGATATTCCTGCCTCAGTCTCCCCAGTAGCTGGATTACAAGATTATGCCACCACACCTAGCCTGAATCTTCCAAATTTTCTGCAGTAAGCTTTTGATTTTTTAAAAAATTATAAGAAAGTGTGTGTGTGTGTGATTTTTTTTTAATTGATTACTATCAAATCCAGATATAGGCTAGGGATTTAGAATGTGCATAGGTTAGCTAGGCACAGTGGCACACATCTATAATACCAACTGTTCAGGAGGCTGAGGCAGGAGGACGGCATGTTTGAGCCCAGCCTGGGCAATTTAATAAGATCCTGTCTCAAAATAAAATATAAAAAGGGTTGGGATGTAGATCACTGGCAGAGCATTTGCATAACATGTGTGAAGCCCAGAGTTCAACCCTCAGTACAGAATAAAAAAAAAAAAAAGAAGAAGAACTTAGGCTGTCAGAGCCAAAGGCCATTCTAAAGCACTATTTTATTTTATTTTTTAGAAGAGTGAGAATTTTTAATATTTATTTTTTAGTTTTCAGCAGACACAACATCTTTGTTTGTATGTGGTGCTGAGGATTGAACCCGGGCCGCACGCACGCCAGGCGAGCGCGCTACCGCTTGAGCCACATCCCCAGCCCAAAGGCTATTCTAGATGAGGCTCAAGGTTGGGTATGGTGGCAGGAGCCTATTGTCCAGGCTACTCAGGATGCTGAGATACGAGGATCATTTGAGCCCAGGAGTTGGAGGCCAGCCTGGTCAACAAAACAAAAAGCGAGGAAATAATTTCTCACTGGTCACATGGCGAGGTGGGACCTGGGCTACAGCTGCATCCACCAAGTGTACCCAGACAGAAACCACTCTGAGGGGTCCAGCAGAGGGATGTGCCCAGGGAGCTATGGCTCAATCATGGAAGAGACCAAGAAGTCAACCAGAGGTCATGAGGCACCCCAGCCCCTGGGCCAGTGTTAGCAGAGTGCAGGGGCCAGGGCCCCAGGGCAGAAGCTAGAACCAGACCAGGCCTGCCCTGGGGGAGCTGGAGGACGAAAGGGACTCGGGGAGAGCCTGCCCTGGTGAAGGGGTGCTGGGGCAGTCCCCCTGCCTCACGCTCTGGTCTCCCTCTAGCTCCTCTCTCTATAACCAACCGTGAAGGAGGATTTTGGAAATTCAGACTGCAGGGCTCAGCCCTCTGCCCCACAGAACAAAGCAGAAAGTACCTGAGCAGGGTGCAGGGGTACTCGCCTGTCATCCCAGCAGCTCAGGAGGCTGAAGCAGTAGGATCACAAATTCAAAGTTGGCCTCAGAAACTTAGCGAGGCTCTAAGCAACTCAGTGAGACCCTGTCTCTAAATAAAATTTAAAAAAAGGGCTGTGGATGTGGCTCAGTGGTTGAGAGCCCCCGGGTTCAATCCCCAGTACCAAAAAAAAAAAAAAAAATGTGGACCTGAGATACACGGGCTGGCATGCGACACAGTAACTGCTGGAGGCTGAACTCAATAGCCTCAGATCCTACTCTGGGACCCACCAAAGCTGCAGGAATGGAATCAGAGCATGCAAGCAGGGGACCAAGGGGGTGACACGAGCCAGCCTTTGCCAGACTGGAAATGGAAAGATGAGGACCCTGTGAGGTCTTGCTGTTGATGTTGATGTCACTGGTCTCCCCTGTTGGCCCTGGCTACCCCTCCTCCGGACAGCCACAGCCACCATATCGCAGTCCTGGGGGCCCCAAAGCTCATGTGGCCCGGGCAGGGTTGGAGGGCCTGGCTCCCTTCCCAGGTGGCACAGCCCAGGAGAGGTGCCCCGCAGGGCTGTCCAGTGTCATACTGAGTTTTCAGGAAGCTGCTCTTTGCATCCTTCTCACAGTCCCCTCACTCTCCATGGGACCCCAAGATGGATTCACATAGTGGACAGCTCTCCATGGACAAAGCCCCCCGCCCTTCCCTGACCCAGGGCTCCATGGTTGGTCTCCCTCTTTCTCAGAATTCTAAGGCTCCTCTCAGCTGGACCCCGTCAGGCTCTTACCAGCCACCAGCTGCACCCAGCTGTGTCTAAACCCCAGCCAGTTCAACCTGGGGTCCAGTTCCATTTTGAATCCACATGGCCCAAACCAGCACTTCCTTGTTTCATTATCAGCGCTCTCCTCCCCCTCCCCTCCCCTGTCTTAGCTGTGTTGTGTAACCAACCCTAGCTGCTTAGACAGGAAGTCTTCTGCGGTTTTTTTTCTTTTTGGTACTGGGGATTGAACTCAGGGGCACTCAATCACTGAACCCCATCCCCAGCCCTATTTTTTATTTTATTTAGAGACAGAGTCTCACCGAGTTGCTTAGCTCCTTGCTTTTGCTGAGGCTGGCTTTGAACTCTTGATCCTCCTGCCTCAGCCTCCCTAGGTGCTGGGATTACAGGCATGCACCACCTCGCCCAGCTCTTCTGGTGTCTTTAATCGTTCCTCCTGCATTGGGTGTGGTGTCATGAAGCCTCTTCTGTGTATTGCTCTTGACTAAGGCACTGCTTGGCACAGCTTGGTTAGGAGGAGACACCTGCCTCTCATTTATTATGTTGCCTCCACCATGTTCATCTCTCCAGGGTTTGGAACACATTTTCTTTCCTTCCCTTGGATTCAGTGAAGATGTATTCATGTTTAGGTGCATGGACCTACTGCAACTTTGTTATCAGAGCCAGCAGGTGCAGACCAAGTCCCCGCCATCCTAAAGCCAATTGAATCCATGAGGTCTGAGGGATGAGCTAGCCCCAGAAGCCAAGCACCACCTAAAGAACCATAGAGGAAACCCAGCTGGGGAGCTCACCTCCTGGCTCTTGCCAAACCACACAGTAGTCCCACTAAGAAGAGAACATGGGGAGCCTGCCCCAAGCCCAGCCAGGTACAGGGGTCCTTCTGCTACGTGGATTACACAGATGTTTGGGCTGATGAAAGGAGCTGGCTTATGGTTTTGGAATTTTTTTCCCAATTGATTTCTATTTTATTATTTCATAAGTGAAATAATAAAGTGAGAGCCTGTCATTCCCATCTCTCCAATCCCACACCTCCTTCCAGACAGGACCCTGCTAACATTTTCATTGCACTAATAAATATACACAGGGAGGTGTCCTTATGCAGTGTTTGCTATGTTTTATGTAAGTGGGATTATTGTGCATATGTTATTTGGATACTTGCTCCTTGCCACCAAGCCAGGACACATAGCTCTACTGTATTCTTCATGTATATATATTTTAAGGTGGTAAAATATACGTAACATAAAATCAGCCAGTTTTAAGTGTTCATTCCTGGGTGGTAGTTACATTCACAAGGTTGTACACCATCACCATCATGTCTGAACCTTTTCATTACCCAAAATAGAAACTCTGAAACCATTAAACAGTCACTTCCCACTCCTCCTCCCCCAACCCCTGGTAACCTCTACTCTGCTTCCTGTCTCTATGTTGCCTATTCTAGGCATTTTGTGTAAATGCAGTCATAACATTATTTGTTCTTTTGTGGCTGGTTTATTTCACTTAGGAAAATGTCTTGGAGGTTCATCCATGTTGTAACATATGTGAGAACAATGCATTCTTTTTCATTATTATAAATTATTTCACAGTATGAATGTAGCATAACTTATATAAGTAACATACATGCATGTCCCATATTGGAAACTGCACCCAACTCTTCTCTGGACTCCATGGATAATGCTATAGTGAGAATCACATGGTTGTGACGCTCATGTGAGCACATTTTGTAGGATCAGTTCCTATAAGGGGAAAAATGGTGTCTTTAGAGTAATGAATCTTCTCAATCAGGGATGTTTTTTTTTTTCTTTTTTAAATATTTTTTTAAATAAATGACAGTGGATGCATTACATTTCTTATTACACATATAGAGCACAATTTTTCATATCTCTGGATGTATATAAAGTATGTTCACACCAATTCGTGTCTTCATGCATGTACTTTGGATGATGGTGTCCACCACATCCCACCCTCATTGCTAGCCCCCTGCCCCTTCCCTTCCTTCCCACCCTCTGCTCTATCTAGAGCTCGTCTTTTCCTCCCATGCTATGGTTTTTTCTTCCATGCAGTTGGAAGGTTTTTCTTTCAGTACAGTTTTATTCTTTTCTTTATCTAGGTGCTGGGAATTAAGCTCAGGGCCTTGCAGATAACTGGGCAAGTGCTTTGCCACGGAGCTCCGCTCCCAGACCATTTCCGTTTCTGTTAAGTTTATTTTTAGATATTTTGCTATTTTCCTCCTTACTTTAAAAAGCATCTTTATTAGCTGGGCACAGTGGTGCACACCTGAAATCCCAGCAGCTCCGGAGGCTGAGGCGGGAGGATTGGGAGTTCAAAGCCAGCCTCAGCAGTGAGGCCCTAAGCCTCACAGCAAGACCCTGTCTCTAAACAAAATATAAAAAGGGTTGGGGATGTGGCTCCGTGGTTAAGCACCACTGGGTTCAATACTCGGTCCCAAAGAAAGACAAAAAAAGCATCTTTATTTCTCCATGCACTTTCTGATGGATGCTGGCCAGTACTTACACAAGTTTTAGTTGTTATGAGTTGATCTTGTATCTGTCACTTTACTAAACTTAGTTTGTAGGCATTATAAGTTTTTTTTTCCATGTCAATTATTCTGGAAATCTTGATTGGCAAACTTATCATCTGCAACTGGTTTTCTTTTTAGGCTCACGCAGAGTCAAGTAAAACCTGGCTGACGGACAAATTCACTGAACTCAGATTACTACTTGATGAAGAGGAAATGCTGGCCAAAAAATTCATTGATAAAAACATGCAGGGGGCCCTCCAGGTGTACAGGGAGCAAGTGGAGTCTTGCAGGAAGCAGATTGACGTCATGGGCAGTCTCTCCAGCAGGGTCTGGGGTATCAGCCAGGAGCCCAACCCTGTTCAACTGCTGCAGGTAAGTTGGGGTCTCTGCTCTTGCTGCTGCCACATGCCACCCCATTCCACCTCGGCTGTTATGGCCCTGAGCACAGTGTTCCTGTAACATGTAAAGGGCATGGAGATCTGCTTGTCAGCATGTGGATTTTCTTGCTCGTGCACGAGTGTGCAGAGAGTGCATGTTGTCAGGAAGATGAGAGACATCTTGGACTAATTAAATAGTATCAGCCAACATCATTTTCAAGGGCTTTTGTGTTCTAAGCATTTTTTGTATCTCAGCTCTGATAGTTACTACAACTCTACAAAGTGGACTTCTCATCCCATTTTTGCAAATGAGAATTTGAGGCTCAGGGAGGTGAAGTGGGCTCACATAGCTGCCAGATGGCAGAGCTGGGATCACACCCAGATGTGTCTGAACCAATCCAATCCACAAGGCAGTGTTTTGTTGTTGTTGTTGTTGTTGTTGATTTTTCTTTTACTGTCCTGGGAATTGAACCCAAGGATGCTCTAACACTAAGCTACATCCCTAGCCCTTTTTAATATTTTATTTAGAGACAGGGTCTTCTGAGTTGCATGCAGTGGCTGGTCTGGAACTTGTGACCCTCCTGCCTCACCTCCAGAGTTGCTAGGAAGATAGGTGTGACCCACCACAACAGCTACTCAGCCCCTTTTTTTATTTTTTTCATTTTTGTTTTGAGACAGTCGTCCAGGTTGGCCTCGAACTTGCAATCCTTCTGCCTCAGCCTCCCAAGTAGTTGGGATTACAGGTGTGCACACCGTGCCTGGCTCTGCTTAGAGTGTTAAGACACCTCTCCTGAGGGGATTCTGGTATCATAAAACACAGCTTCGGGGCTTTGGCATTGCTTTCTTCCATTTTCTTGTGCCAGAGCTCCTGGTTTTGACCATTCATCATCCCTCTCTCCTGTTCATTTGTTTATGTATTCCTCCAGTACACACTGAGCTGGGCCATCTGCAGAACGTGAGGAGCTCACAGTGTGGCAGAGAGACATGCTAAGAAACAGATGTATACAAAGCAGCTCAAGCAAATTAGCAAAAGTATGTCCAAGAAATGATCTCACTGTCTATGGGGGTGGGGCCAGGTCAGGGAAGACTTCTAGGAGGAGGCTGCTGTAGAGGAGGGTGTGAAAAAATGAGTAAGTGTTAACAGAGGGACAATTCAGAGAGGACGTCCGGGCAGTTTGGAAATATGGACCCGTGAGAACCTGGCAGGCAGGAGTTTGTCCTGTAAAGAGATGGCAGCCAGGGGCGTGTTTGGAACTGAGGAATGAAAGCGTTGGCTTGGGCATGTTACTTAGGTGATGGGGTGGGAATGGACTGGGGTCCCTCCAAGGCCGGAGGTTGGAGGGGAGACCATGGGGTCCCGGGGAGAGATGATGGTGGCCAGGAGACCCGGGTAGGGGCAACAGGGCGGGGAAAGGCAGGTTCAGAGACACAACAGGATTGGAGTTTGGAAGAGGAGGGTGAGGACGGATCCAAGGTGGTACTTGGGTTTCCTGCTTGAGAAATGGCGGCTGGGTTGGTGGGGATTTTTCTCTGAGTCTACAAAGGCGAAAGTCAGATGTGCTCAATTTCACTCACTTAATGCATCATACAGATCTGTTGAGAATCTACTGTGTATCAGGTCCTGCCAGACATGGGTGCTTGAGTTACCAGATGGTAGCGTTTTGTCCTCTCTTGGACCCCAGCCCTACCCCACCTACATACTCTTCGGGCCAGCCTCCCACCTTCTCGGGGCTGCTTCCAGCCACCCCTGTATTTTTCTGCTTGTGTTCTGTCCCCTGGTCAGCTCTAAGTGGAACCTTAGCCCTGGTTCCCACCAAAGTGAGTATGGGCTCTTGCCTTCTTCGGCCAGGTGAGACTGGAAGCCTCCCTCAGCCCCCTCCCAACACATAGGCTCCCGCCAGGTGGGGCACCCATCCACCCAGGCCTTGTGGGGTAGCTCTGCCTGCCAGCCAAGGCCTGCTCACCTGGGGCAATCTCCCTCCTTGCCCAGGACAACCCTTTTGAAACCTGGGAATACAGGCTCGTAACTGTAGTATAGGAATATAACGGTTTTAAGCAAGGAAAGAGTTGATGAGCCAAGAGAGGTGGGGCATGCCTGTGACCCCAGCTACTCCTAGGCTGAGGTAGGTCTTGAATCGCAAGTTCAAGACCAGCCTGAGCAATTTAATGAGACCCTATGTCAAGATAAAAGATCAAAAGGGCTGAGGATGTAGTTTGGTGGCACATGTCCCTGAGTTGGGTTGGGCCACAAAAACAACAATAGAGAGTTTATGAAGGAGTATGAGGTCACCCACAGGACCTCCAGGAGGACCAGAGAGTCAGGAGGAAAGACCAGGCCACAGGGGGTTTTGTGCCGGTGTAGACCCCACCATGCTTCTGCTGGACAAGACCTCAGGCCTCCAGCGCCACTGTCCCTGAGAGCCACATGCCACCATCATTACCTCCCCCTCACTTCCAAATCCTGGACTTGAGTTGGTGGGATCTCATCACATGCCTGTGCCCTGGTGCAAAGAGAGCTGGGAAGGGAGAGTTTCCTGGCTTCTACTTAGCAAAGCCACACAGCTAAGGCGGCTGTCAGCTGGAAAACAGGACACATGCCCTCTGTGGTGGCCACACCCCCCACAGTCATCTCTCCAACTGAACCTTCCAGGGTCCTCAGTTTCCCTCCTGGGACATGGTCTCCTGCTCTATCCTGTGGACAAGCCCCAGGGACTCCTCCTTCAGGAAGACTGGCCTCTCTTTCTGGGGCCCTGTGCCTGAGGTAGACCCCTGTTAAGTGTCTCCAAGGCTGAAGCCTCATAGGGAGGGACCCCATGAGATGGAGAGCACCTAAGGGCAGGTAGTCACTGGCTCCCGCCTCTGTTCCTCAAAGCTACCGTGGGGGAGGCCTCAGAGCACTGGGAAGGGAGGGAGGGAAACTCGGAGGGAGGGAAGGAGGGACTCCGCAGCACCAGCCCTGAAATGAGCTCCACATGCCTTCCACTCAGGCCCGTAGGCTGTCTGTGTGGCGCTGCTCTGGGGACATGGCCTGGGCTAGCCAGGGTGCTGGGGTAAGCTGGGGTCTGGTGCCTGGTCTGGGCTTGTTCCTGGGTGCCACAATGGAGGCTGGGATGCCGCCTGCAACCTCCAGCATTGCCCTGACCCCTGTGCCACCCTCACAGGCCTACACAGCCACTGAGCAGGAGATGAAGCAGCACGCGAGCCTCGGGGAGCTGAGCCACCCCGTGCCCCTGTCCTTTGAGCCCATCAAGAGTTTCTTTAAGGGCCTTGTGGAAGCCATGCAGAGTACGTTTCAGACACCACTAGATGTTCGCCTGAAGGAAAGTAAGTCACCATGTGACCAACTTTGAGTCCTTAACTCCCAAGTGCTCTGTCACCCAGAGACAACTGCAAGGGTTGCCACCCTAAATCGTGTCTCCCTCTCACACAGGCCCTTGTCTGGGCAGGCAAGGGCTCCTGGGCCTGGTGCCCAGCCCCACTTATGACTCCAACATCACCTCCTACCCTTCCCAAGATGGTGTCTGCCTGCCTCTCCCCAGCCACAGGGCTCTGCTCTGTCCCAACCATTCCTGCAACCCTGTCACACCTCAGCCTTGCCCACTCTGGGCTCCCAGCAGGGTGGCTAGCCCTCACTCCTCTCCCTTTCTTCTCTGGGACCCATGTCCTTCCTGGGGTGTTGATGAGATAGATTCAGGGCCTCACAAATGCCCGAAGGGCAGAGACTACTTTGGGTACAGCTCCAAGATCCCCACAGGGCCTGGAACAAAACAGGTACTTAGAGGTTCTTTCCTGACTCCTTCACTCACTCACCGCTGTGATGCTTTGCTCAGAACACTGACAGAACCCTACTATGTGGCAGGCCCAAAGGGCCCATGACATAGCCCGTGCTTTTGTGGTAAAAGAAGGAAGGTCCCATTTTCTGAAATGGGAAGGAGCCCTTAGGATTGGAGGGAAGGACTGTTTGGACCTCCTGGGTGTGGGAGGCTTGAGCTACCATGTGCTGATCTCACACAGGTAATAGGATGGATGGTTCTAGAGTTCTAGGGAGAGGAGAGAGACCTTCTTCTCCTAGAGGTTGGCCTCCCACAACCATCGCAGGCCATGGGGATGAATGAGTGCCCTGAGAGCGATGGGTGGGGCAGGGGTGCCTCTGAGGAGCTGGTCTGGGGAGGTGGTGAACTCACGAAGGTGCCCCCCTGAATGCTCTTGAAGGGACAGCCTCCCGCCCTTTTTCTTAGAACTGGATCCTTCCCAGGACTCAGCTCTAATGGTTTGGCATCAACCTCCACCTGGAGGCTGCCTCCCATCCCAGAGTGCTGCATTCAGGAGCTGATCTACTCTAGGGCTCTCCATGGCCTGCCCCCGCAGAGCTACTTGTGGTCCTGGAGCATCTGGGTCACTGTGAATTTGCATTTCCTATTCCAGGAGGGGAGAGTGTGCGAATCTTTTTTGTGTGTGGATCTGTGCTGCTCCCAGAGCTCTAGGCGATCATTTATCACTCTTCCTTTCAGACATCAACTGCCAACTCTCAGGCTCCTCCAGCACCACACTTGGGACCCTGCTGAAAACGAGCCCCTCACCAGAGAGATCGCTCTTCTTAAAATGTAAGACCCCAGGAGTGGAGAGAAGGTGGAGGGGATGGGAAGGACAGGTGCAGGGGGGGGAAGAGCAATGAGAGCCCCCCACCCCCTCGTTTTCTGTTAAAGAGACCCAACTTATGTTTTGGTTTTTTCAAAAACTTTTATTAGTAGTCTTTTAATAATAGATGTTCATTGTAGCAAAATTAGAAAACAAAGGATATTACTGAAAATCTTTCCCATATTTAACTAGTATGATTTGTCCTTTTACCTTTTTTAATTTTGCATAGCTAATGTACGTATAGTGATGTAACATGGTATCATACTATACACATTCTTTTATAGTCTGTGTTTTCATTTACTGATATATTGTGAATATCTCTGTTCCCTTAAAAATTATAGGTAAGAGGCCGGGATGTAGCTCACAGGTAGTGTGTTTGCCTAGCATACAAAGGCCCTTGGGATTGATCCCCAGCACTGAAAGAAAATAATAGTAGGAAGAAAATAATAGAGGCAAATCCTGCCAGGAGGGGGGTGGGTGGGAGGAGAATAGAAGTTCAGTGGATTAGAGAAAGGGGAATGAAGGGAAGGGAGGGGAGACAGGAAAAGGAAAGATAGTGGAATGACTCTGACTACTTCCCTGTGTACATATATGAATACACCAAAGTGACTCTCACTATCATGTACATCCACAAGACTGGGGTCCTAATTAGAATAAGATATAGTTACATTGTATAGTTATATCAAAATGGACTCTACTGTCATGTATAACTAAAAATAACATATAAAATTTTTTAAAAAATTTTAAAAAGAGAGGGGCTGAGGCCATAGCTCAGTGGCAAAGCGCTTGCCTAGCATGTGTGAGGCACTAGGTTGGATCCTTAGCACAACATAAAAATGAGACAGATAAAATAAAGGCATGATGTCCATCTACAACTACCAATAAATAAATAAGTAAATAAATAAATAAGAGAATTATAGAGGCAAATCTTGAAGAAAATCACAAAATATAGGTGTACAAAGGAAAACAACTACCTCTCCCAGAAATAAATGCTGCTAATATTTTTATCTATTTTTTTCAGACATTACAAAACATACATGTATGGGTATTTTCAATTGGAAGCATATTTTCATATTTTATATTCTATTATATTCTTTTAACATAACAGTATAGCTTAAATACTTTTCTATTTCAATAATACATTATTATTCATGAATGGATCATATATAATCATTCTCATACTGCTGAACATTTAGAGAGGTTTACATTTTCAATCCATTTTGTTCATTTTTGTTGAATTAATGAGTGGATGAATATGCCTTAACTTATTTTCTAATTATTTTTTAAGAATAATTAAAGAATTACTGGACATACATTTTTTCTTTCTCTCTCTCTCTATTTTGGTACTGACGATTGAACCTAGGGCATTTAATCATTGAACCACTTACCTAGCCCATTTTCATTTTTTATTCTGAGACAGGCCTCGCCAATTTGCCAAGGCTGATTTTGAACTTGTGATTCTCTTGCCTCAGCCTCTGGAGCCGCTGGGGAGAAAATGAAATTTTAAAAATACACTATTTTCAGTAACATTTTCTTTAAAAGTAGGAAAGAATCTAACAGTTGATATGTAAAACCTCTCCACAGAAAACCCTAAAAACATTATTAAAGAATTTAAAGACAGCTTAAATAAATGGAAGGATAGATCATGCTTATGCATCAAGATAGTGTTATTTCCTGTACTACAGACTTGGTGACTTAAAACAACACAAATTTGGGGCTGGGGTTGTAGCTCAGTGGTAGAGCACTTGCCTGGCATGCAAGCGGACTTGGGTTCCATCCCCAGCAGTGTCCCCTATCCCAAATGCCTTAAGTTACCCACAGTGACTTAGGTCTGGGCCAGTATTGGAGCCCAGATCAAAACCCCCCTCACCAGCCACCAGGCAAGTCTAAAATGGTCCCTACCTAACCCTTCAGGCCAGGATTTCAACCTGGGAGATTTGACTGTTATCTCAGGGGAAGGATCAGCAGGTGACTTGCTAAGCAACCAAAGGTATTTTTCCCTATTACAGTTCCGTATGTACAGTTCTGTAGGATGTAAGTGCAACAAAATCTCACTGACAAAATCAAGGCTGGGCTTCTTTCTGGGGAAAACCTACCCCCTTGCCTTTTTCCTGTTACTAGAGACTGCCTGAATTCCTTGGCTTGTAGCCACTCTTTCCATCTTCAAAGTTAGCAGGTATCCATCTTTTTGCCCCTCCTGTGATCACATCTCCATCCAACTCTGCCTCCCTTCGGCTTTAATTAATTAATATGGGGCTGGGTTGTGCCTCAGCCGTAGAGGGCTCGCCTAGCACGTGCGAGGAGCTGGGTTCGATCCTCAGCAACACATAACAATAAATAAAGATATTGTGTCCAACTACAAGTAAAATAAATAGATAAATAACCAACCCAACTCCTGTAATTGACTACATTGGGTCCACCTAGTGGTACCCACTGATTTATCCACCGCGCCCTGCAAAATGCTCTCTTGAGAGTTATCTGATGTGGTAAAGTGTTCATGGATGTATCAGTAAATTTTAAAAATCAGATTACCTAAGAGCATGTGGAGTATGATACCAATATTAAGAAAAACTAAACGTCAAGTTAAGGACAGAAAAAGATTGGAAGGACACACAGCCAGCGTTAACAGTGATAGGATTCTTTATAATAAATTTTTAGAGACTGGCGGTAAATTCCATGGTACAAAATGCAAACATTAAAAAGGATATATATATATATATATATATATATAGTAAAATTTTCTCTCCTTCCCCTTCCTCCAGCCGCAGAGGAAATCGGGGTAAAGGGTGGCTTTCCATCGCGCCTTCAGTAATTCCCGGGGCGTTCCCATTTTTGCCCTGCTCACCTGCGTGGTGCGGGGGCGTGTCCGGAGATGACCCCGCCCACCACGCATATCCGTGTCCCCGCCCCCCACAGACGCGCGCACGCCCACGCTGGATCCGGACACGATGCACGCGCGCCTGCGCCTCTCCGCCGATGGCCTGACGGTGCGCAGCAGCCTGCTGGGCCGCCTGGGGCCGACTCCCGCGATGCGCTTCGACGCGTTGTGGCAGGTGCTGGGTCGCGACTGCTTCGCCGCCGGCCGCCACTACTGGGAAGTGGACCTGCAGGAGGCGGGCTCCGGCTGGTGGGTGGGCGCCGCCTACCCCTCCCTGCGGCGCCGCGGGGCCTCGGCCACTGCCCGCTTGGGCTGCAACCGCCAGTCATGGTGCCTCAAGCGCTTCGACTTGGAATACTGGGCCTTCCACGATTGCCAGCGCTGTCGCCTGAGGCCCCGCGATGACCCCGACCGGCTGGGCGTCTTCCTGGACTACGAGGCCGGCGTCCTCGCCTTCTACGACGTGACGGGCGGCATGAGCCACCTGCACACCTTCCGCGCTGTCTTCCAGGAGCCGCTGTACCCGGCCCTGCGGCTCTGGGAAGGGGCCATCAGCATCCCCCGGCTTCCCTAGGGACCACCGCGCAGTGAGCCCCAGGCGCGCTTGTCCCTGGCGCAGCTGGTCTGCTTTCTAAGACCTTCTCCCGGGCCTAGCTCCCCCATCAGTGGGTTGCTTTGAACCTCTTCTGGGGCTAGTTTCAAACGTGTCCCCAACACTGCTGCTGCCCTTTCCCCCACCACCATGGCTTCCGCTACACTACTTTCAGTGCAGGTTTCTGAAGGGGGCGTACCCACAGGCGAGCTTTGGCATTCTGGCTTTGTCAGTGCAGTTGTGCTCAGCCAGAGAACCATCTTCATACAGCGCCTAGACCCTCCTGGCACACAGTTAGCACACAGTAAATAACCGCCTGAGAGTGGCACAGCGGTGGCTCTTCTGTTCCTTAAGCTCCTTTGATCTGCCTGCTCTCCACCTACTTCAGCTTGTCCACGTCACCTCCCTTCAGAACAACTGCAAGGGCTTTTTACTTCCTGGTCTGAACCCTCTCTCATCTTCATCTTAAAACTAGAGGGATCTGCCTAGAACTCCCAAGAACTACAAAAATGAAAAACAAAACGCACCTTCCCTTAGCATTCAAGGCTTTTCTAGTCTGCCCTCCTCAGCTTAGCCTCCTGCAGGTCCTGTTGCTCTTTTCAAAGAGGCTCCAGCCGGAACTGTCAGTTATACCTCTGCCTCTGTGCCACCCCACCCCACCCCCACCCCACCCCACATGCGCAGGAAAAGCCTTTCTTCTCTTTGCCTGTCTCAGTCTTCTCAGCCCACAAGAATCTCTCTTACTGTAAGGTCCACAAATCTGGGACCTGTGTTTCCAGCTTGACTGGAAGCTTTCTAAGGGCAGCTGTGTCCTATACGCACCCTGACCTGAAAAGTTTACAAAGTCCCTTTCCTCCCAGGCAATGAATGAATGACCAGCAGGCTGCTACCACTCACTCAGAATGGCCAAGCTGGGAGGACCTCACAGATCAACCTGATCTCATTGTACATTTGGGGAGACAGGTTCTGAAAGCAAGAGCTGCCTTAAGTTACCCTCAGTGACTTAGGTTTGGGCCAGTCTTGGAGCCCAGATCAAAAACCCCCTCACCAGCCACCAAGCAAGTCTAAAATGGTCCCTACCTAACCCTTCAGGCCAGGATTTCAACCTGGGAGATTTGACTGTTATCTCAGGGGAAGGATCAGCAGGTGATTTGCTAAGCAACCACAGGTATTTTTCCCAATTGTCTTAGGAGAAAAACTGGGATTTGGGTAATTTTAGATATGCTCCACATAGATTGCTTAACTCAGATGTGACCAAGGAAACCCCCCAAACCCATTTTTTTAAAATAAAGTGACCAAGAGAAAAGGCCAAAGGCCAGGCCCTCAGAGGCCAGCTCCTCCAGCAGAGAAAGGTGGCATCTTCCCAGGGCCCGCACCTATTTTGGAGCTCAGCATTCTGTCAGTTCCCTTGCTGGTTTTGAAGCTCTGATGGTGCTAAAGCATATTCTCTCGCTTTTCATTTGGGGATGCAGTACCTGATCCCCTTGTGGTTTAAACAGACTGTATGCATTCATTAGTTTGAACCATATAAAACAGTCAAGTTCCAATGATTTGGGGCTTTAAAATGGTACTTTATATAGCAATATAAGTTGACTACAAGGCAGAAGGAATCAAAGTGCCTTCAGTTCTAACCAAATAATTGAAACCTCCACCTGAATAGATGACTAAGCACTGTGTTCTAGAAATCTTGAGTAAAGAGAAAACTGAAATAGGGAATGGCCCAAGGCTGAATTCTGACAGGCAGACAACATTCCTGACAGATGTGTACTTCACATTTCCACCCAACCCTGAAGACCAACATGTCTTCCCAGACCCATCGCTACAGGGGCAAAGCCATGACAGCCCTCAGATTTGCCTTGCAACTCGCCTCATCTGAGCCTTATGTAGTGTGGAAGGCAGCAGTTAGTTACCCCATTTATACATGGCAAAATAGAATGAGTTAGTTGCTCAAGGTCACAGAACTAGTGTTGGAGTAGGGGGTCTGGGCTCCTGTCCATCAGGACGTACTGTTCAGGGTGGATGCAGCTGGTCACTCCAGCTCCTCTGTTGTTGAGCTGACTGTGATGCTTTGCTCTCACCTGGTTCTATGTGGGACCTGAATCTGCCTTTGGATTGCATTCCTTGGGTTGAGATGAGGCTTTCAACCTCGAGGGGACTTGTTTTGAGAGCTTGGGATTTAGGTAGCAGAGATAGAGATGAACTATAAAACAGGAGAACAGCTGTGAGCCAAGGCCCATACTAGTGAGAAAACTGCAGCGGCAGCCCATAATCAACCATGTGATCTTGGACCATTTTACTTCCCATAGCCTTATCTGTAAAAGGGGATAATGACCCAAACTACCAATGAGTCAAGGTTATGAAATTGCCTTAAAAATTGTGCAGTGCTACATCATGCTAGGCTTTATTAGCACTTCCCCTGGGAATTTATTGTGCCCCTGCTGCAGTGCTGAGACACGTCAGGCCCAGCCACTATGTGGCAGCAGCGGGAGCCCCTCCTGGATACTCTCAGCACAGGAATGAAGCTTTCCTTGGGTCCACATCCATAAGGGTGATCATGTGCCTTAATCTCTTCCAGAATTAAATTTGTAGAAATTTCCTTATTGATGCAGCAAATTGCTTACAGTTTATTCCCCTGTGGTTCTGAAGATCCAATCCAGATCCTCTCACAAATGCCAGGCAAGCACTCTACTGCTGAGCTACACCCCAGCCCAGTGGATATTTTTAAATGACAGCAATTTTCTAATGTGGTTTGTTTTAATAATGTATATTTTTTTCTTGGCCCTGGGGATCAAACCCAGGACCTGACACATGCTAGGCGAGTGTTTAACCACTGAGTTACAGTGGTTTTGTTTAATAAAATCTGAATTTTGTAAGTTGCAACTGTGTTCTTCATTGGGAGCTCATGTTGCTTCAATCAAGTATGTAGCATCCAGGCCTGGACAGGCCCTGGCTCACTTCCCGTCCCCTTCACAACCTACTTGTGGTCATCAGCTGGTCCTTGATTGAACATCTCCAGTGATAGGGAGCCTACCCCTCCTGAAGTTAACTCAGTAAGTTCTTGCTTCCATGGAAACAAACCCCAACTCCCAGCTGTTCCTACCCCAGATAATATTATGTCGCTTTTGATATCTTCGTGACCATGCTTTAGCAACACGGAAGCCATTTGTGGTCACTTAACAGTTTTTGGAGATTTCAGGGATCCTCTTTTCCTATGGTATCTCTTCTGATTCCACTTTGTCAGTGACATCAGCTGGTGGGGGTGCAGCCTAGCAGAGGGCACACAGAGGTGGCACTGCAGAGCCCAGGCCTGGTATGCCAAGGCACCCTGTGTCCTGATGAGAATGCTGCATAAGAAGGGGAGTGAGCATGAGAGCAGGGGCCCAGGTCTGAGTCTGCCATGACCTGCTTAGAAACTCCCCACTGCCCAGAGGGGCAGACCTTTAAGCCTGTCCTTCTCTCCCATATGCCACTCCTGCTAATGCATTCCTCGGGCACACTATGGGCATTTTCCAAAACCTGTGCACATGGGTCCTCCCTCAGTCACTACACACACAGCCTGCAAGCCTGAACTACAGCGCCACCTCTTTTGGGAGGCTTCCCAACCAGTGCCCCTCTCCCACCATGCTCCTGTCTCAGCTCCCATGACTCTTGTCTACATCTTAGCAATTCTTACACATAGGGCACTGTCTGTTAAGGGGTGGGGAACTCTCAGGACAATGCTGCTTGTGGGTCTGCACATTCCACTGGTAGGTGCTCAGGGATATCTTCTAGACCTGAGCTTCCCAATTGGAACTGGCTAGAGGTGTGCTCAGATGTTAATCCTTCAGCCCTCGGGTATCCTGGTAAAGCATGAAGTACCTTTTAAGCAGCTGTTACTGGTTGCTGGCAACCTCATACTAACCCGCATGTATCACACATGCTGTCATTTTCTCTGATGCTACGATGGGAAGCATAGTCTCGACAGAGGCCCTTCTCCATTCTCTCCAACACATGATACAGCCCTCAGAAGGCAGGGAATTGAGTCTTTGTGACCTTAGAAGCTCTTCACTTCTCAGTTGCCATCAATTCCTCCCTCTTGGAGAATACAGTTTGGGGTAACAGAACCACCTGGATCTTTCTGCCATTCCAGGCTGTCAGAGCCTAGAGGTGACCCACTGCTCCTTGTCAGAAACAGCTTCCCAAATTCTCAGCTGCAGCCTAGGCCTTTCTCTCCTTTCCTTCCAGATCCAGGCCCTGGAACACCTCTTTTCTACCATATTATGTCTCTGCTGTGGGGGGAAAAAGGCCATCAAATCATAAACTAGTTGTGTGTATGTATGTGTCTGTTCAGTACTTGGGACTGAACCCAGGGCAATCTACCACTGAATTGCATCCCCATACCTTTTTATTTTGAGACAGGGTCTCACTAAAGTGCCAAGGCTGCTCCTACCTCAACCTCTGCAGTAGCTGCCACTGCACCCAGCAGAAACTGTTTACTCAACCTCTGCAGAAACACTAACCAGAAACTGATACTGTCACACTTCAGTTCTTAGCAAATCAATTTGCAGTTTCACTTCAACCCAGGACTGACCTCACCCCACCATAGGCCCAGCTCCCTCCAAACGTTGTTTTGGGACCCACAGGAGGAGGCCCCAGACTCACAAGTAAAGAAACTTCAAAAGGATAATTATATGCATTTGAAAGGAGAATCAAATACACTTTGAAATAAGAGGAGTTATATAGTAAATAAGGTCAAATAAATATGAACAAAGATCACAAATTTGAAAAGATATTTGAAAAGGATTAATGTCAGTATAGGCTCAAAAGAACAAAGAAAAATATGACATTGAATCACTGTAAAAGGTTCATGCTGTGCTACTTCAAGGAAGTAAAACAATGAGAATATGATACCTGGTTTTATGATTTATGTGACATAAAATTATTTTGTTGAATGTGGAAGGGCTGATCTCAGCATCACCCCAGATTTAAAACTTGCAAGCTCTGAGCCCCCTGCTGCCCATCCCTGCACACAGATCTGTTTTCTTCCCTTTGCACTTGTGCCCTCTGGTTTACTCACTGTGCTGTGGCTCTTGCACTTGCCTATCTGAGGGGCGGTTCTATAAGAAAGGACTGCGGCTGCTCACTGTTGTGTCCCCATACTCAGCAGAGCCCAACAGAGAGCAAGCCCTGGGGATTTGCTAAAAGAAGGAATGAGCGCTACTTCTGATTTGGCTCCACAGCCTCCAAGCCACACCGCTGGCCCACTAATCCCCACTGAGAAGTGGCAGCACAGCGATGGAACAGGAAGCAAGCATGGGTCACGGATGGCCAGAGCCTGACATGCAAGCA